AGCATGTATCTTTATGGTATGAATCAGCATTCCTTGGGTATATGCCCAAGAGTGGGATGGCTGGGTCTTGAGGTAGTTCGATTCCTAATTTTCTGAGAAACTGTCGTACTTATTTCCACAGTGGTTGTACAAGTTTACATTCCCACCAACAGTGGAGTTCCCTTTGCTCCACATCCTCTCCAACATTGGTTGTCATTAGTGTTTTTGATCGTAGCCATTCTAACAGGTAGGGACACACACTTTTAATCACAGTACCAACCATAGAGTTCTGGAGGCTTGTACAGACAGGAAGTGACACAGCTGGCCAGGAAGAGGGAGTGATGTAGTTAGACAGAGAGCAAATCAGATAGCAGAAGAGCAAGACATATAAGCCTGGATAGACAGGAAGTTACTCTCTTTGGAAGCTGCAGAGTTGGTGAGGTAAGGTTGGCTGGTGGCTCTCCCTATTTCCCTGATCTCTCTAAGGCCTTCACCCCTACGTTTGGCTCAGTGTTCTTTATTTAATAAGACCATTTAGAAATTCGCCGACAGTATTATGCACTTAAATCTCTCTCCCTTCATGGCATTAAACATGGACGTGGGGAGAAATGGAGTGTGAGTAAAGTTCATTCCAGGATTAGCCAAAAGCACGAGCTAGTTCTCACGACACAGACGGTCTGTAAACAGAAGAGATGCTGTACTGGCGAAGAGTGACTGGGCATGGAGGACAGTAGTTAGCATGGAACTGTCTGTAGATAACGGTGGGGAGAGGCAGCTGATGGTGCCTGAGAAACAGGAAGCGGAGGCTCACCAAATAGTATCTCCAAAGTGAGAGTGAGGGGACAAGACAGAAGCACTTTTGGGAGCCACCGACCTGACGTTGAACACACAGGGGCTGGTTAGGGCCACGGGGAAGGCACTAACACAAAAACGCTGGCGTCCTGACCAGAACGTCTCAACTGCCGCCATCGTAGTCAGGGTTACTACTGCTGGGATGGAACCCCATGAACAAAAAGCAAGTTGGGGAGGGATGATTTATTTGGCTTACACTTCCACACTGTAGTTCAGCAACTGAAGAAAGCCAGGACAGGAACTCCCACGGGGCAGGGACCCGGAGGCGGGAGCTGACACTGGCTTGTTCCCTGCATCCTGCTCAGCCGATCTTACAGAACCCAGAACCACCAGCCCAGGGGTGGCCCCACCCACAATGGACCCAGCCCTTCCACATCAATCATTAATTTAAAAAATGTCTTATGGGCTGACCAGTCTTACAGAAGTATTTTCTCAGTTGACGCCCTCTCCATTCCAGGGACTCTGGCTTGTGTCAAGTTGGCATAAACTCGCCTGCACAACTGCCATGCTGGAGACCTTTCCCCTCCTGAGTTTTTCTTTTTCTTTTCTTCTTATTTATTTATTTATTTATTTGAGCCAAAATTTTTATTTCTTCATTTCTTGCATTTGATGTACTCTTCAATGACATCCTTGGCCTGAGAGTCTTTGCTGTAGACCTTAACCACTCACTACACAGCTCAACCAACCACCCTCCATGGCTTCCCCTCTCTATCGGTTTTACAGAGGCCTACCCATTCCCCTCGTTTCTTGTCCATCAACCTTAATTAGGTTGATCTGGTGCTCAGCACGAAGTGCCTCCTCCAACTTGACGTACATAGGCTCATCACAATGGGATGCGAGCACGCAGAGACCGGCTTGGCGCTTGTGGAAGGCTTTGGCAGCTTCTCGGATGCCACGTGCTAGGCCATCGTGGATGAGGGCGGTCTTCAGCATGTCCATTACCCCTCCAGCAGCAATGCCTTCCTCGGCCATGGCAGTGGATTACGGGTGAGGCCGAATCTTGAACGCACCCAAGCCTCTGCCTCCGCGCATTCGGCGGTGGCAGGGGAAAAGCCCTCCTGAATTTTGCAATCTCCTTCTGTTAGCCTGTCCAACAGAACCTAGAGGAGAGCTGGAGTCTGCTACCTTGTTGGATGTGGAACTCAAGACAAGAGCATTCATCCGCAGACCTCCCAGGTGCCGTGTCAATGAACCCTTGGTCGACTTTCACCGCACTCTCTAGGCCCTGCCTATGGCTTTCCCTGCGGTCATTCTGTGACCTCTCTCTTCTCCAGGACAAGAAGCTGTTTCCTGTCACACTCTTACTAACTCACTTATCACGGTGTCCTCAGACTGTGTTCCCAAACTCCTGATGTACTGCTGGCCTAAAGCTCATTACGAAGTCACCCACAATCTGGCAATCCAGTTTCCCCCAGTTTCCGTCCAAAAGAAGTCACTGAGGGACTAGATGACAAGTGACAGCCTTAGCCTCAGGAGAAGGAGACAGGAGAGGATAAGGCTGCTTAAGGGGATGATGGCCTGTGTTGTCAACCACTACTCAGGGCGCTTCAGACTGAGCAGCCACTGGACGGATGGTCAGGGGATTCCCACCACAAGACCACAAACAGAATAAAGGACGGACAGGGCCAGAAAAAGGACCTTCTTGGAAAGTATATATATGGGATTCACTACTGGTATTGTAGAAGGAGACGATTCCTAAATTATAGTCCAGGAAAATCCCAATCTGACCAGGAGCTTCTGGCAGAGAGAGAAGGACCCGAGGGGGTTTCAGAGCCCAGTACTCCTCTTGAGACAACTCCATGACCCAGAAACCGTTCCTGGGAGACATGAGGATGAATCCTTTCTTCAGGACGTCCTCCCTACACACCCCCACCAGCCAGTCAGTCCTACCTGCCACCTCCACCTCCCAGTAATGTCTCCCTGTGTTAAAGGTCTCACGGCCTAACACACAGGGCCAGGTGTCAAATCTCTCTGGTGTATCAGGCAATGTCTGACGGGAGTCTGCTAGGTAAATGGATTTTGAATCGTTGCTCACGACAAGGTGGGGGTGGGCCGTGTTCTCATCCAGGGTCACACCAACTAAAAGCAAAGAGAAAGTGCATCAGTGAATGCCAGACGGAGCGTGGCCTACCCCTCCTTCTCTAAAGATATGCAGGAGTGTTCTAGAAGCTGACAGGTACCCTCAGGGAAGAGATGTCTGCTCACAGCCTCTATCCTCTCATCAGCAGCCACAGGTAATGTCAAAGATGACAGCATCCAGGGTTCGCTGTGCCTTCCATCACCCTGTCACAGGGAGCTGGTCTGGGCCATTCTTCAAGGCCCTTTAGGAGTCCCAAGGAAAGAAAGATCAGGCTTTCCCCCACAATTAAAAATCTCTTCGTGCTCACTACTAAAAGCTTATCAATAGCTTCCCTTCTCTTTATTCTTGGTCTTTGGGTTCTTGGGAGGTGTGCTGGTTTAAATGACAGTGGCCCTCACAGGTTCACACTTGGTTTTGAACACTTGGTCCCCAGCTGGTAGAACTGTTTGGGGTGGGCTAGGAGGTGTGGCCTGGTTGGAGGAGGTGTGTCACCAGGCACGGGCTTTAGGCTTCCCAAGGCCAGTCCCCTTCCCAGTGTGCTTTCCGCTTCCTGCTGGGGTTCAGGAGGTATACTCTCAGCTGCTGCCCCAGTGCCGGCCTGGCTGACTGCCACGCCCCTGCCGTGATGGTGATGGATTCTTACCCCTCTGGAAGTGTGAGCCTGGACCGTACCCTTCCTTCAGATAGCTGCCTTGTCAAGATGTTTTTATCACAGGAATGGAAAAGAAACAACATAGCTAGGGGCTCCCAGGCCCATCTCTAATCCCAGCACTCGGGAAGCAGAGGCCAGCCCGGTCTACAGTGTGCCGTCCAGGACGGGCAAAGCTACACAGAGAAACTCTGTCTTGAAAATAAAACAAAAACAAAAAACCCCCAAAAAACAAAACAAAACAAAACAAAAAAAGAAAGAAAGAAAGAAAGGAAGGAAGAAAGAAAAGTAACAATACTGGAGGTTAGAGCTCTGAACCCAGAGAAGCAGCAAGTAGACTGACCTGCATGTAACCGGGCCAATCTCCATTCTAAAAAACAAAAACAAAAACAGAAGTCACCACCATGTTAGGGAGAAAAAATTTTGTGAACAGTACAACAAAAGAAAATGGAAACAAATGAAATGTTTAGGAGTTTTTCTATAAATTGAGCAAATATACCACAAAGGCCTCCTAAAGACAGAAAACTTAGGACATAGGAAAATGAAAGCCAGAATCAGACAAGACAGCTACAAGTGTATCTGATTAACACCAGCCATAAAAAGACAAGAAAAGTCTTTGTTCCTAAGAAAATCCTTGTTAGTCAGCAGTCAGTTCATCCTGCAGGGAAACTTGTTAAATCTGGGAAATAACTCAATTCCTGAAACTGACCAGATACACTAGGCCCCTCCTGTCCTAAGCATATATGTACCTGGAAGTTTCTCCAGTCCTGCCCAGCCCCGCAGTCTCACAGCCACTTATAAAATAATCACTCAGAGGCTTAATATTATTTACAAACTGTATGGCCTATGGCAGACCTCTTGCTAGTTAGCTCTTATATCTTAAATTAACCCATTTCTATTAATCTATGTTTTGCCACGTGTTCTGTGGCTTTACCGGTCTGCAGGCATGTTGCTCTTTGGGTGGCAGGCTGGCATCCCCCCCAGACTCCACCTTTCTCTTTCCTGTTTCTCTCCTTGGATTTCCCACCTGCCTCTAAGCTGCCTTGCCATAGGCCAAAGTAGCTTATTTATTAACCAATGGGAACAGCATATATTCACAGATTACAGAAAGAAATCCCCCCCCACACACACACACACGCACGCACGCACGCACACACGCACACACGCACACACGCACGGATTGCTGAAAGACATTCTCAGACAAGCTGAACTGCCTTAGAAGCAGAGGCCAGCTGACTGGCTGGAAGAGGCAGTAATCAGGAGAGCTGCCTGCAAGAGGCTTAGACCAGTTGTGTTACCTGGACAGAATACTCTCCATCCTGCTGAGATGTCTACAGGCTTTGTAGTGTGCTCTATCTAGGTTTCCAGTTTTCATGAGCTGTCACCCATGTTGGCCTTGGTGATATAGCTGTCTTTGAGTCATTTCTGCTACTATAAGTAACCCTTCACTTTGTTGCTAAAAGTAACCCTGTCTTAGTTACTATTGATGTGATGAAAAGCTGTGATAAAAACAACTTGAGAGGAATGGGTCTATCTGGCTTATGCTTCTATATTACAGTTCATCACCAAAGGAAGTCAGGACAGGAATTCAAACAGGGCTAGAACCTGGAGGCAGGAGCTGATGCAAAGGCCATGACAGAGTGCTGCTTACAGGCTTGCTACTCATGGTCTTCTCAGCCTGCTTTCACATAGAACCCAGAACCACCAGCCTAGGGAGGGCAGCACCCACATGGGCTGAGTCTTCCTACAGCAATCACTAATTTAAAAAGTCTCTTACAAGCTTGCCTACAGCCTGATCTTACAAAGGCACTCTCTCAATCGAGGCTCCCTCCTCTCAGATGACTTTAGCTTGTGTCAAGCTGACATAAAACTGTTCAGCACAAACCCTAACAAAAGTCACTGGTTCACCGAGTTGGACTTTAAATGTATCTGTACTTTGCTCCCTCCTTGGATCTCTGTCTGGGGTGAATAGATGTCTGCTCCTATCTCCCCAGGAAGAGTGCCACACAAGACCATTTCAGACAGAACCTCAGCCAAGAGTCTGAACAATCCAGGACTTATTTAGATAGCTCTACAGTCTAGAACCTGCACACAGGATTCCCGTGTTTAATGCATTCTCTATCACACTCTCCTTATGCAAGCCAACCACCAGTACATCTGGTTTCCCTCCTGGAATTTAATCACTCAGGAGTGTGAACTGGAGGTGTGACCTCCTGGGTTTCAAGGTTTAAAAAGCCAGACTCCATTCAGATCTAATGCCACTCCTCTTCTGAGCTCTGAACATTTGGTATTTCATGTGTCTATATTTGCTTCCTACTATGGAAATTCTGAAATAATAGGCTCAAGGGAACCGCAACCTCTCTATGGGTCAGAAAATCTGCCCACCCCTCAAAATGGATCCCTTGTTTGGTACCACCATCCATAAGTAACCTCATTTTCTATGACTTACCTAGAGGACCAGCTGTGACATGTTTCTTCCTCTTTCTTGTCAAAGCCAAATATACCACAAACACCAGGAATGCTGCTGCCATGGCAATCCAGACTAAGGAGGACAGTCCTGTAACAACTGAGAAGAGGAGTGTTTGCTGACATCCCTGGAGAAGTCACTAGCTTAGGACCCTCAGGGCCTGGGGTGATGATGGTGGACTATCCTCATTGTGTACACCATGTCTTACTCCAGCCAAGTTTCTTTTGTTAGTGACACTGGCTATAATTACACCCCCACATTTTCAGAGATACTTTGATTCCAGGTGGGAGGAAGTAGAAAAACAGAAAAAGCAACATATAAGAGCTCTTTAAGGTAAGAACTATCTCATCTTTTAAAAAGGAATTTTGAATGGGCATGGGATACACACTTAAGACCCCCACTACTCAGCAGCTGTGGCCGAGCTGTGAGTTTGAGGCTATCCTGGGCTACAACGTGAAACCCTGTAAAATTAAATACAAAATTTAAAAGTAACTAGGAGTGCTGGCATATGCCTATAATCCATCATTTGGAAGGTTGAAGCAGGGCTGCCATAAATTCCAAAGTAGCATGAGATTCAGGAGATCTTGTCTCAAAGGAAAAAGACATTTTTGCTTTGTTTTGTTTTTGGTTAAGGGTGATGTCAAAATTCTCATAAAACTGCTAAGTATAGAGGAGAAATAGCACCTCTGAATATCACAGAGCATGACTGAACTGGTGGCCTCAGTATCAGGAAAATCAGCCTGCTTTTGAGACCGAATGACAGCCCATTTCAAAAACAAAAGGCAAAAATAGATTTAACAATGAAAAAAAAAATCACTGAAAAATAGAATGTGACAGAAGATAAAATGTTCAGACTGTATGTGCAGATTACCAGGAGATCCCTCAAGAATGCAAAGGTAAACCCCAATAATGGTCTCCAGAAGAGGGAGGGGAGGCGGAGAGAGGGCTCAGCAGTTGAGAGCACTGGCTGTTCTTCCAGTGGACCGGGGTTCAATTCCCAGCATCCACATGACAGCTCACAATTGTCTATAACTCCAAGATCTGACACTCTCACATAGATATACATGCAGGCAAAACACCAATGCACATAAAGTAAAAATAAATAAATTATTAGAAAGAAAAGAAAAAAAAAAGATGGAGCTGATGCATGCAATGTAATAAGTATCTATTTGGTCTCTGCTGCCATTTCCATAAACCTCTTAAAATCTCTTCTTGCATCCTCCACAGGAACAAAAAAGGTCCTTGGTGAATACACATTAATGCCTAGGGTGTGCACTTCCACACACCTGGCCTTGTATAGCTCTTCTAGGATATGTCCTACTACCATAAACCAAAATATCTTGCTGGGCTGTGGTGCACGCCTTTAATCCCAGCACTGGAGAGGCAGAGTCAGGCAGATCTCTGAGTTTGAAGCTAGCCTGGTCTACGGAGTGAGTTCCAGGACAGACAGGGCTCACAGGGAAACCCTGTCTCGAAAAACCAAAGCCAAAACCAAACCAAACTAACCAAACAAACAATAACAAAAACAAGCAACACCTTTCCAAACCCCATAACAACAACAACAACAAAAAATCTTGTAAATAATTTTCCTAGGTTCTGTCAGACCCTGTATCAAGAAAAACAAACAGATAGCAAGGTTCTGGGGTGTACATTAGTGGAGAAGCACTTGCCTAACATGCACAAGGCATTATGTTCGGATCGAGCAGTGAGAAAAGAAAAAAAGAAAGAAAGAAAGAAAGAAAGAAAGAAAGAAAGAAAGAAAGAAAGAAAGAAAGAAAGAAAGAAAGAAAGAACATGAAGTGATTTCTACTCTATGAAAGAAGGTGAATGAAGATTCCAAGGGTAGAAGGAGAAACTAAAGAATAAGAGATAACTTGGAAGCAAAGACGGAGAGGTCCAAGCACACAGATGATCAGATAGGAGATGCTGTTTCACAGACCAGAGGCAGAATCCAGGAATACATGCAACGACTGGGCTCTGGAAGCCCTGAGAACTTGGACAAAGTTCTAAGACAGTGAGAGTTGATAGCTAAATGCAAAATTAGTAAATGTAAAATTTCCGGCTACTTCAAGAAAGTCTCTGCATCAAAAATGGACGACAGCCACCAACCAAGTTTACTAGTAAAGATGCAGGTGTCCCTGGTGTCAGTGAGGGAGGGCTCCAGGATCCCCTTGAATATCAAAGTCTGAAGATGCATATCTCCCAGTAACCCATGCCTATCCTCCTTTATGTTTCAAATCATCTCTGGATTAATTTAAAATCCCAATATAAGAGAAATGCTATGGAAACAGCTGTTGTGCTACACTGTTTCAGGACCAGCAAGAATCAAGGCTGTGCATGTTCAGTATAGGTGCGTATTTTCTGCTGAATGCTCTCTACCCCACTGGTTGAATCTACAGATTCAGAATCCAAGGGATCTCTCTGTCAATGGTTATTTCCTAAGCACAGAAAGCCTGAATCTTGGGCTGGTGCGATGGTTCAGTGGGTAAAAGCGCTTGATGCTGAGCCTGATAAACTGAGTTCAATCCCTGGGAACAACACAGTAGAAAAAGGAAACCAGCTCCCATAAGTTGTCCTCTGACCTCACACACAATGTAGCATGCATGCATACACACATGTGCAAATACACACACACACACACACAAACCTTTTTTCTTGAGAGGGAGAGAATTTCCCTATGTAAACCATCACTGGCCTACAACTTGCAATGGAGACCAGACTGGCCTTGAACTCACAGGGATCTGCCTGTCTCTGACTACCAAGTGGTACGATTATTATATTGCCCTGGGTGTCTGTCAACATGAGAACCCAGCACTAGTTCCACTGACCTGGTGTAGAGATCTCTACTTCCTTCTCCTGGCCAAGGAGGAGATTCTGGATGCAGCAGGACACACTCTTTATGGAGCTGTCTGTGATGATCACTGAAGCTGCCACAGTGAACAGGCCGTCCTCATCACGATTCCTGGACTCTGAAATGGATTGTAACTTCTTTCTGTTGGCAGTTCTCCACCGCACCTGAGGCTCTGGGTACCATCCCGAGGAGGTGCACTCCAGCTCCATCTCTCCATTCTCTTTAATTTTCATACTAATGTGAGGGTCAGAACCCATAGCTGTTAAGAGAGAAACTGGCCTTAATTGGTGGTGGTTATTCTTTGGGGGCTTATATCATAGAACTTCACTCCAAAGATGACTAGGGATCAATGAAATGACACATGACAGACCTCTTCAGAAAGATGGCATCTGAAATTATAGGCCTGTAATCCCAACACTGGAAACCTTCATAAGGGAGATGGTGAGTTCTGAGTCAGCCTAGGGCTATAAAACGAAGGAAGGAAGGAGGGAGGGAGGGAGGGAGGGAGGGAAGGAGGGAAGGAAGGAAAAAAGGAAGGGAGGGAGGGAGGGAGGGAGGGAGGGAGGGAGGGAGGGAGGAAGAAAAGGAAAGAGTGCTCTTTTAAGATGAAAAAATTTCAAGACTGGTGGCCTAGAGGTGGCTGTGGGGCGTTTACCCCCCCCCTCCCCACAGCTTCCCAGAGTTTTCTTGAGTGCGATCAGCAGGAAATATTAGATAGAAGGATTTATAGCGGAGAATCTTGTGGAGATAAACAGATAGAAAATAAAGGATAGCCTCGAGAGGGCCTGGAACCTATTCCAACGGGCCCGGACTGTCTCTGG